GACTGCGGGACACGAGGTGGCTGCCTCTGGGTTTCTCCCTCTGTTCCCTGCTCAGTGACCACCCGCCACGCTCACCCAGCGCTGAGCCATACCCTGCCCGGCTCGGGGGCGAGGAGGACCCACCAAAATCCACACGAGCATCATGCATCGGGGTCTTTTGCTGTCACTTGGGAATTCTTAGAGGGATGGTAAATGGCAGGGAGGTTTTGAGAGGGAATTGAGATACTCAGAGTCCATTTTGCTTCCACAAACACTAAAATTAACTTGCCTTTCTGAGCCTGTAACAATTGACAGCTGGGAGGAGGGATCCAAGTCCACAAAGTTTGCCCGGCTTAGAATCAGAAAGTCACTACAGATAAATCTGGAAGCAGAGACTTAAAGAATTAATGAAACCAGAGCAGGGGGAATCGATGCCTTAGAAAACCTTCCCGCCCGTCCACATGCGTGTTCATCTCACCGACACTCACACGTGTGTCTACTCAGAGAGGACAAGGCGACCCCCGCTAACATGCCCCCATGCCCTGTCTCCAGGGCCACAGCAAAGAGGCGACTGATTATTTGTAGATTCAAACTGCATAGGCAGCCATTCAAAGTAATTTATATCTAATCCTTTCTTTAATGCGTTATTAAATCCCTGGGTACATATTTGCTGATACAACATTCACAGTGAGGCTGTGAAGAGCCGGAATGAACGTAAAGTGCTTTCCCCGGCCGTACAGAGTCACTCCAGACCTACCTCACAGACCCCTGCAGGGGCGCACACCTCAATGTCCCGGGGGCTGCGGAGGAGTTGGTTGATCTGGGTTAGACATGAGCCTTTTCCCCCGTTTTGAAATCGGCCAATCCTGGGATGACTCCAAGTCAGCTTCCCATTACAGCTATCACTAGAAAGGCATGTGCGGGTGCGGAAAGGCAAATCCCTGCCGGCATTGCAATGCTGAGCGCAGTGGTGGTAAGAGCAGTGTCAAAAACGAGGCTTTGAGAAGAGACACACATGCGGCCAACGAGCACACGAGAAGATGCTCAGCATCACTAACCATTAGGAAAACGCACATCAAAACCGCAGTGAGGTATCACCTCGCATCCGTCAGGATGACTACTACAGAAAAAGAAAAACCAACAGAAAACGCCGAATGTTGGTGAGGATGTGCAGAAACTGGAGCCCCCGTGTGCTGTTGGTGGGAATGTCAAACGGTGCAGCTGCTATGGGAAACAGTGTGGTGGTTCCTCAAAAAATTAAAAATAGAATTACCATATGACTCGGCAGTTCCACTTGTGGGCGTATATCCCAAAAGAATATCCTAGGATATATACCCAGAAGATATTAGGAGCTACCGTATTTGCATGCCCATTTTCATAACAGCATTATTCCCAATAGCCAAAAGGCAGACGCAACCTCAGTGTCCGCGGATGGATGAATGGATAAACAAAACGTGGTAGATCCATACAATGGAATATTATTCAGCCTTAAAAAGGAAGGAAATTCTGACACATGCTGCAACATGGATGAACTTTGAGGACATTGCCTCCTTGGAAATTGGCCTTGGCTGCCAGGTATCGTTCTAAGCCCAGGGTGTGTCGTGAGTCCTTGGCTGTGCTGTCCCATCCTTGTCTACCGTGGTCGCACAAAACAGATGCTCATTTTACTGAGGGTCAGAGGGATAGAGGAAGAGAGAGAGGGAGGAAGGGAAGAAGGAATGAATAGAAAAGGCACAAAAGAGAAATCACAGATGGACGGTAACCAAATGAGAAAATGTTCAGCTTCACCAGTAATCAAAGAAAAGCCCATGAAAGCAACAATGAGTTTCCATCTCTCACTATAAAATGAACAAAGATTTTATTATTATTATTATTATTTTTTGAGACAGAGTCTCGCTTTGTTGCCCAGACTAGAGTGAGTGCCGTGGCGTCAGCCTAGCTCACAGCAACCTCAAACTCCTGGGCTCAAGCGATCCTCCTGCCTCAGCCTCCCAGTAGCTGGGACTACAGGCATGCGCCACCACGCCCGGCTAATTTTTCTATATATATTAGTTGGCCAATATTTCTTTCTATTTTTAGTAGAGACGGGGTCTCGCTCTTGCTCAGGCTGGTTTCGAACTCCTGAGCTCAAAGGATCCGCCCGCCTCGGCCTCCCAGAGAGCTAGGATTACAGGCGTGAGCCACCGCTCCCGGCCAAAGATTGTTATTATGATGACTGAAACACCTAAGCTGGCAAGGATGTGTTGAGATGGATAACTTCTGAAGGGATTGGTGAGTTGCTGTAAGGAAATGTAGCCGTACAAATCAACAGCCCTATAAAAGTTCATAGCTTTTGACCCAGTAGGGACCAATCTTAAGGGACTCACAAGATACTCAGACAAAGATTTAAGGGCAAAGATACACATTACAGAATTATTTATAACAGCTCAAAGACCTAAACTAACATCTGGCAAAACAGAGAATGCTTAGGTACAAGAGGCAAAATTAGTAGCTACTAAGAAATCATATTTTAGACAAGTATTTAATGATGTGAGAAATTTTTACAAGGATATATGCATCTAGGTTATACATATAGTAAGGTTGGTTTAGTAAGAGAAAACCCAGAAAACAGAGAGGAGATGTAATACATTCAAATGTAGTCTGGGATTTCTGGATGAGGTGATCATGATGGATTTTCCTGTTCCTTCTTGTATCTTCTAAATATTCTAAAATGAGCATTTACTGTTTTTTGTAATTAGAAAAAAATATTATTTGGAAAAAGTAAAAAATTATGTCACCACCAGAGCATCTGAAAAGTGCTTGGGAAATACAAAGAAATGATCCGTGTCGTGATCTGTGTCGTCACGGAGCGGGCAGCCTGGTGCTAGGGAATGTGTCATGGTGGGACAGGGACAGGGACGTGTCCCTGGAGAGGTTGTCTCTGCTTCCGCTGGGCTTAGGGGTGGCGTCTGCTCCTGACTTTGTTCTTTCTGACATTGCTCGCCTCGAGTGCCCTGCTCCTGTGGTGGGTTTGCAGTGCTTTAGGGTTTATTTTCTCCGTGATCTGTGTAGGCTCCACTCAGCCAATGTAGGATATTCTCCAAGGTTTATCTCTTTAACACTTTCACTGCAGCGGGCTTGCAAGCCAGTGTTTATTTAAGTCATCACTTGGCTTGCACCTACTCCGGCAAAGATTGTCTTGCTCTAACATCAAGGTCTGGGAGGTGGGCAGGACTCACACCGCCTGCAGGCCACTGCAGCAGAAGCCGGGAGACCCTAGGCTGTGGAGCTGGAGGGCAGGCACCTCCAGCAGAAAGTGGGGAAGTGAGACCCACAGTAGGATGGTGACTTGTCCAAGACCGGGTGCCAGCCCAGGAGCAGAGCTGGGACTGGTTCTAGCTTTCCAGACAGCCAGGCAGCGCACCTGAACGCAGCGCCCTCGGCCGCTCTGCTCGCGTGCTCTTGGCTGGAGGGGCAGGCCCCCACGCTTCCAGCTGGGACTCGGGACTCACTGCAGAGCTGCAGAAAGACCAGAGCAGGTTTCTGGCGGGGTGGATGGTGGCTGCTTTTAGTACTGATGTGAGAATGATGAAAATTACCTTTGTGGGCACATTTGGGAGACCATTTGGGTATCTTTTAAAATTTATAATTGAAAAAAAAAAACCACCTAAATGAAATGTAGCCATCTTCTTCTATTTTGCTTTTATTAATATATAGTTGTTTTTTTTTTTATATAAGAGGACTACATGTTCTCTGGAAGTTTTAGCTAATGCAATAAACAAATCAAAGATGCAAGTTACAACTAGTAGAAGTGAGATGTATTCAATTACTTTTAGATATTACGTGTGTCTGCTAATAGAGTCCAGGGGTACCTAGAGGGCTACTGCAGGTAAGAAGAGGACCCCAAGCCAAGGCAGGCCTCTGCCTGAATGCAAATTCATAGAAAGGCTGGGTAGGACGTAACGGTATAACCATAAAGCTATAGACATACACGGGTGTTTATATACATATCCGAATATGTATGTACACATATTAGCTGAGCTACATAGATATAGGTGGGGGCCTGATAGAAACAGAAATCCCCAGGTGGCCTGAGCGGTAACATATGAGCAGATGCAGGTGCTTGGTCTTTCGATAGGTACTGGGGACACAACAAGGGAAAAGAGACAGAGCTCTTGCCTTCCTGGGGCTTGCATGCCATGGTAGGACGCAAACATTCATCGAAGAATCACACACCCAGGAAACGCTGGTGTCGTGCAAAGTGCCCCAAGAGGGAAGGCACCTGCTGTTCTGGCCTATTTTACTGGCCCCGGAAGTCAGGAGGGACACAAGTTGCCGCCTTAGTGCTGAGTTCAATCCACTAAAAAGTGAACTAAAGACAGTAAAACATGAAAAACAAAATCTAAAAGAACAGAAAGAAAACACAGAGGAATAATTTGGGGCTAGGATTCATTTTTTTTCCTTCTGGCATATATACTAAAGGAAAAATATTGCAAGATTTAACCAAGTCAACATTTAAAGCTGTTGCACATTGAAGAAAAAACACCATTTACAAAAGGAAAAGGAAAAATGCAAATTGCAAAAAAAATTTGCAGTGGACATAAGCAAGTGTTATAATTTTTCCTATGTAAAAAAGATTTATCCATCAATAAGAAAAGGACACATGCACCTACAAAAAAATAGACTTAGAGCTGGACAGTCTCACACACACATTAAGTAAATACAAAAGGCCAATAAACATACAAAAAATGTTTGCCTCCAGTTGCAATCAAAGGCACATGACTTATAATAATAGCATGCCTTTACTTATTTATTTATTTTGCTTATGAAATTGGCAAGGATTTAAATGCTGACGTATTAAAATGCTGAGGGAAGTGGCAGGAAACAGGTGGGAATATAAATTGGCACAATTTTTCTCGGGGGCAACTTGGCAATATCTATGAAATGCTTTAAAAATATGTCTCCTTGGAAATCTCACTCAAAGAATTTATCTTAAGGAAATCAACATGCACGTGTGCGAAGATTGTGTGAAGGGTATTAGCCCCAGCAATATTTACAATAGAGTTGAACTGAAAATAATGTAACTGTCTAACAAAATTAAGTATGGCAGAGTACTGGGCAGCTGTTAACATTTGCGTTGTGAAAGAACACCTACTGGGGTGGAGAAACATTCACGATATATGGTTAAATGGAAAAAAAAAAAAAAAAAGCAGGTTACACATTCAAAGAGGGAGACCAGAGATGTGAACGGTACATGTATGGAAACTTGACATACCACCTATGACTGCGGGCACGTTACGAATCAGGAAGGAATGGATGGATAATTCAGTGGCTGGTGATGAGCTAACTGATCATCCATATAAGAAAACAAAATGAGAGCATTATTGCACACCATAAACAAACAAATTCCAGATGGAAGAACATTCTATGAAAAGAAAACCTAAAACTTTTAAAGAAAATATAGCACAGTATCTGTATGACTTTAGGAAGAGAAGTATTTCTTAATGGACAAAGACAAACTGACCAAAACAGGGAATACTGGTAAATACTACGATGTCAATTTAAAAAAAAAAAAAAAATTTGTACATGAGAAGATAGAGCCCCAAAAGGCTAAGGTAGCTACAGCCTAGCAGAAGATGAATTCAATGCATATAAAAAGGAAGGACGATCTGAGGACATTCGAGGCAGTGCTTCTTAAACTTAACGTTGAGGAATCACCGGGCAGCTTTGAAAATGCAGGTTCAGATTGAGCAGGTTTGGGCGGGGCCTGAGATTCTGCATTTTCAACAAGGGCTTGGGCACCGTTTATGCTGCTGGTCCACAAACCGCGCTTTGAAAAGCAGCATATGAAGGTCTCCTACTGATAAATAAAAAAGAATAAACAACCTCCGTACTAAGTTTGGTGAAGAGTGTGAGCAGCAACCCTCAGCAGAGAGAAACCAAACAGCCAATAAACACGTTGCCTTTGCTAGGATAGGGTTGCTGCTGTAACACATAGACCCCATGACAGAAGTGCATTTCCTGCTCATATAAACAAGGCAAAAATTCTAGGCTTGGGAAGCGGGGGGTGAAGTTCTGTTGGAGGTTCTGCCACCTCCAACGTGGTGATTCCAAAGTTGCTGCAGGAATTGGGCAGCTGGAGGAAGGAAAGAGGGTGAGAGATTCCACGTGGGAGGTTTTCCTGGGCTGGACTTGGACGTGGGGCCTGATTCCTGCTCACGTTCTGTGGGTTGGAACTCCATTCAAGGCCACAGCTAACTGCAGGCCAGCCTGGGAGACGTAGTCTAACTGTGCCCAAGAAAAGAGGAACCATGTTGGGTGACCAGCCAGCAGTCTCTCTGCCACACACCTGAAGAGATTCTCAGCTCACTGATAACCAGAAAATGCAATTGAAGCCAAAAGAGGTGCCATTTTGGACTATCTGGTTGGCAAAACAAAATCAAGGCCGCCAACCACACACAACTCCAGGAGCTGCCATTCGTAGGGAATGTTCTCCCCACCCTCCTCCTTATCCTCATACCTTGCCTATGATGTTTATTGCACGCATGTATTACCTCCAACATACCATTAATTTACATATTTGTAATGTTCATTGGTTTTTGTCTGCCTTCCATCTCCAGACTGTCGATTACAACAGGGCAGGGATATTTGCCTACGGCATTAACTCCTGTATCCTAGTGTCCACAGAAGTGCCGGTGGACCGTGGGCACTCCACAAGGAGCTGCTGAGTCGAGAGGCTGAAATGAGGTGCTCCAGGGGGCATTCATTCTTGTCTTCTAGTCACTACAGCCCAGAGCCCAGACACCAGACACGGTGGGGGGCGTCCTAGTGACTCCAGCCCTCAGCCACTTGGTCACTTCCGGCCTATGGGTCTTCCCAGCCGAGGTCCCAGACTTTGTGGAGGAGACAGATCTCTCCACCATGTCCCTCCCTGCTGCCAGTGCATGGTATCTGTGAGCATAATCAACGACGGTTGCTTTCAGCCTCTAAGGTTTCTTGTTTAATTTTTAAAGTCAGTTTAGTAGGATACAATTAATATTTAGTAAAATTTAAAATTTACCCCTTTTAGGTGTACCATTTGATGAGTTTTGGCAAATGCATAGTCATGAAACCACCATCACAACCAAGATAGAGAACTTTTCTACCACCACACAAGGCCCCCCCTAAGACACCACGCTTTGGGGACCTTGTCCCACAGCAACACTAACAGGAACCACATTCTCCTCCCTCTCTACTGGGGACAGTGTACTTGTTCAGCGTCTATTTCCCTTGCTGTGGAATCTCCTTTCTTGTGAGCTCTGTTTCCCCGTTAAGACGAAAAGCTCTGTGAGGACCCAATCCATGTGACTTGTTTAACATGCTGCTCCTATGCCTGGCTCCGTTTCTTAAACGTAGTAGGTGCTTGTTAAATCATTATTTCACGAATGGAGGAATGCAATGGCATCTGCTGGGTCTGGAAGACCCAAATTCTCACTCTGGCTTCAATCATATATGGGAAAGTCACGTGACTTCTCAGTTCAAATGAGATAGGGTTATAGCTCCCCTATGATGAAGGTAAAGGCATAGAGCTGGTTCAGACCATTCCCTCAGTCACTTACATATCCTGTAAATATTTATTGAGCATCGACTACGTGCCAGGCACTGTACTAGGTGCTGGGATGCCAAGGTGGACATAGGCAGGCAGAGTTCACATGCTCATGAAGCTGATTATCTAGCCAGGCGGCCACATGTAAACCCAACGGTCACACAAAATAATGTGTTCTGGTAAACACAGTAAGAGTGTGTATCTCCCCGTCCTGAGCTCAGCGGTTCTGTAATGTTCTTTGGCACATGAACGAATCCCCGTGCTCTCTTGGAATCATCGCTCGCGAGGGAGAATCGTTCTCATTTGCTGTCAAGTTAGAGATGGTCTAAGAATCACCATGTTTATAATAATAGTATCTTCTTCTGAAATAAAAGTGGGGAGGGCAGAAACAGGCAGGCAGTCTGTTCCCTTTCACAATCTCTGACTTTAAAACAACAAAATAGACCTTTCAGATAAACCAATCAGCCTCACCAGCATTGTCCAGAATTCAACCAGGGGACACTCGCTTGAGAACGCTGGAAATCTCAAATGCCTCATACTTGTCCTTCAATGACTTTACGGTTTGGAAGGAAGTGTACTGCCTTATAAATATTTCCCGTTACGGAAGTTTTTGGTAAGCTCCTAAAGTAATTTCAGATCTCAGCGAGCTTTGTTCTCCCTGCTGCCCAATATAATATCTTCCAGGGCTGCCACACCGAAGTGATCTAGCAAAAAGAGAAATTAAGACAATTTCCCAGCATTCCGTAAACATTTGCATGTGAATGCAGGCGCCCTGCTGTTTGATAAATCTGATATGTAAGAAAACCATGCGAATCAAAGTTCACATCCAGTTGGGCGCTTTATGTGTACGTTGTGAAGGTTGCCACACACAAAAAAATGTGATAATATCCTTGCAAGTATATGACTAATGAGAATACGTATAGCACATCTGAGACAGCTCAAATGTGTAATTATTGTGAGGATTTCACAGACACATAAATATAATGATCTTCAGCTAAGTAAATTGCTAGCTACCAATGAAATAAATAGGGTCCCTTCAGAATTTGAAATAATTTGGAATGGTAGGTGGTAGGAAATGATTCACCTTAGCTGTTATCTCTGGAACATTAATATAGAAATATATCTGCCAACTCCGGTGCATTTACATTGTTCTTCATTTCCTGTAGAGTTTGTCAGAAGAGCACTGGTCCCTGCTGACTTCCAACCCCTTATTTTGATAAGCTGCGGCACAGCCTGGCTCAGCGCTGGGTCGGAGCCGCTAATATTGTTTACTGAGGTAGGCATCCCAGCTATAATATTTTTCCAAGAAACACTGATGTGTGTAAAGGTCAGATTGATACTGATTTGACGGAATAACATAAATTCATCTTTCTAGGAGTAAAATGGTGTACATGACTTGGTTTAAAGGTTAAACTGTTTTTTGTGCACTGGATAGGTCAAAGATAGAAGACTTTAATACACAAAGTATAATTACCTGTTTGGACAGACAGGAAGATGTGGTCTAGGGTTTGGATCTTTGTAAAGACGTTTGAAAACTTAGGAATCTATTGACATCTTGTCGTCCTTCAGTACATTTCATTACCAGGGGGAAAAAAATCCTACAAGGGTGCTCAATTAGAGTGACTGTCGATTTCCCTTTTCCTACTTACATGACTGCTGGGATTCTAGGAATTGAATCCTAGAATCCAGTCTAAGAATATTCCCAGAATATTCTGGGAATGAACACTGATCCAGTGTTCCACTGGATCCAGTCTAAGAATACAACACTGATCCAGTCTAAGAATATTCCCAGATACAAACTTCTCTCGGGGCTAGTAACTCTCAAAAAGGACATAGTAGGTACTAAATAAAAGCTTGGTAGACTACTGAATTAAATGCATCATGTTTAACTCACAAAGTTGGTTTTGATAAATACAAAGAAAAGTGAATAAATTTTCTGTAACTAGAATTTAAAAACAAATATTGGACCCAGAGTTTCCTTCATTCATTCCTTCGCTCTTTTTTTTTTTTCATTGAACAAAAGATTTATTAAGCACTTACCACATCACCGCTCTATGCTGGACGTGGAGATTAACTGGGAAGACGTGGTCTTGACCTCCTAGAATTTACAGTCTGTCTGGGAAGAAAAATAAAATGAGCTGATGGCATAAGAGGGGGAGAGGAGGGAGGAAGTGGGCGCAGCTGCCCTGCCCTGCCTGGGGCGGCCCCCCACCCCTCTCCTCTTCCCTGCCCCAGGCTCATCAGCAGGTACCTTCAGAGCTTCTCTGGTCCCGGGAGAGGCGGGGCTGAGCCAGGGATGCGCCGCAGCAGCCTCAGCCCTAAGGCCAAGAGCGTCCCTGCGCCACCCCTGCGCGCAGCTGGGCGCTCGGTCCTCCTTGCAGGGTGGGGAGGGGAGGTTGGGGCCGCGGTTTTCAACACTAGGACTGCCGTGGGGAGCCGCGGATACTCTGGGGCAGACCCGCAGACCCCCGCCCGGAACCGCTCCCGCTGCGATGGCGTGGCCGGTCCGCAAACTTGCCACCCTCGCGTGCCAGCGTTTTCCGCGAGGATGAGCCTTGCTCGCGCGCGCGCACCGTGCGGTTCAAGGTTAACCTGCAAGTTCAGGGTCTGGGTTAGAGCAGGAAAACACTGGAAGGGGTGGGGGTGGGGGAAGTCCTGGGGAGGGGTGACCAGGGGAGCAGCGGGGGGAGGGGCCGGAAAGGGCGGGGCCTGGGAAGAGGATGTGTCCCTTCAGGGGAGGGGCCGGAAAGGGGCGCCTGCGGGGGTCGAAGGGGCGGGGCTTTCCCGTGAACTTGGGGAGGGGCGTCCGGTCCTTGGAAGTTGGAGAAATCAAAGTGGGAACCATGTGGTCGGGAAACCATCTCTTCCTGTGGCATCTAGAGGGGCCGGGGGTTGGGGGGTGCTGTTATTTAAATAATTTCATTGGTGGAGCGGGACTCTTCACGGGGAGGCCGGTTGGCCTTACCCCAGGGGGTAGTCGCTCCTGGACCACGGTCTTGTCGCTTTCTGCCCTTTTTTGGCAGCTAAGGGCCTTGAGAGCCGCTCATACCTGACCCGTGGGAGGGGGCACGGGGCAGGAAAGACACAGAGAGAGAGGGGGGACCCCTGGAACTGCAGGCCACACCTGTCCTCGTGGAGATCTCCAGGTGTGATTGAATGATCCGACTCTGCTCCAAGTCCCCTTTTGTATTGCACGCCTCTGGGAAATTCTTAACAGGTATTCCGTGGAAAGGAAAAAAATGCTCATTTTTTAAAAAGGGAATGGAATCCTCCATAGCATGGAGAGATAAACAAGATTTTTTTTAAGAACCTGGATGGAGGGAGTTTGGGAGTGTGTCAAGACTAACTGCACGGCTTCACCTTTGCCCTCTCTACTTCATCCATTTCTTCTTCCCGTCCCCTCTGTTGACTTGAGTCTCAGAGCTTTGTTTGCTCAGCGAATGAATGAACCAAGCCCACGTCAGAGCAGAGCGACTGCTGAGAGCAGCCCAGCAGGCTAGATGAGTTCCAGGTGGGGCTTGAGGAGGGGGGATGTGCCCGGCGCAGTCTGGGGAGCAATGAAAACCCTCCCCTGCTTGGGCACAGAGTGGTGGATGGATGTGTTGGGAGCTGAGCATTTTTTTTTGAATAGATGAAAAGCACTGTCCCGCCTGTGTTTTTAAGCACAAGAATTTCACTTCCAATTTCATGGTGGAAATGAAGGCCCTGTGTATCCCTAAACCCCAAGAGTAAACCAGGCAGCGTTTCTGCCTCATCAAGTCACAGCTGAGCCCTCTCCTCCCCAGGACAGCCTCGCCCCTTCTTTCCGACAGACAAGGAAGCTGAAGGGCAGAGAGGGGCAGTGACTTGCCCAGCAGTGAGGGCGGCACCCAGGCAGGCCTTGGATCTTGCTAGAAGTCTGTTCACCTCCCTGTTGGGAGTGTGGGGATGGCCCTTGGGTATGTGCCCTGGGTCTCCCACAGTGCAGCAAGAGCAGGAACAAGCAGGACCCCCAGAGTTCAGTTGCTTCCTCTGGCCCTTGTCCAGGGCCAGGCCCCGAAGATGCATTGCATCAAGGCTTGCTGAGCGTCTACGCTGCCCTACAAGCTGGTAGCATTCTCCAAGGGTATCTGAAGAGTTTGCAGTCTGTGATACGTCAACATCCCCCAAATTGTCCCAGGATCACAGCTCACCCTACAGATACAGGACGGAGGCCTGGGGCTGCCGTCTAACAATGCAGGGTGGTTAGAGGGCCTGCAGCGAGGAAGCAGTGAGCACCATCTTTTTCCTAAATGTTCTCAACCACGCTGGCTGGCAAGCTGGCGAACACCACTGTGCATAGGTAATAAGTCAGCTGGAAACAAGTGTCATAACTCACATGCCACAGCTAATGTCTAGCTAATAGCCCCCAGCAGGGATGAGCAATTACAAATTCCGGAATTACCTTCCCTGTCTGCACCTGAAACAAACAAGCGATCATCTGTTTCCTTAGCTAACCCTTTTTGGGGCAATATGGCTAAAAGGTTGGGAGCACATGAGCCTCCAAGGTGGGGACCTGGCATTGCCACTTCCTGCCTGTGCATCTTGGGTAAGTTACAGGAAGTTCCCCATATAATAACTATTACAGTTTCTATAACAATATACTTATCTCATAGGGTTACTGTGAATTAACAACATGATTATTAATTAAAAGTTCCTTGCATATAGTAAGCATACAATTAAATGTTAGCTGTTATTAATAACCAAAAATTAAACCAAAAGTATTAGGATGTGGGCATTTATAGATAAAAGTATACTTAGATTTCACAAATATGTTTAATTTTCCCGAGTCTTGTATTTCAACCAGAGAGCCAAATTGAATCAACACTTACACGTGCCAACTCCTTTGGCCAAAAGAGAAAACTAAAACAAAATTGCTTTTGGACTCAGCAAATACATTGTATTCTTTAGCAATCGCTCTTGCTTGCGAAGGTCATCGACTTGGCTCTCGCTATTAACGCAGTTCCAGGGCAGACTCAAATAGAAACGGGCTGTAGTATTCAGCATCTCACATTTGCAAAATCAAATCTTTGTACTCTGCATAGACAGGGCTTCATGTACCCTTGAAACACTAATGAGATGCCAAGAGATTTTCAGGTCATTCAACGGGTTATATTTAGAGACAGAATGATTTGTGTTTAGCTTAGAGATGGGAGTGTTGCCCTCTTGAGCTCTGTAACTCAGAGGCCATCGTGGAAAGGGCTGTGATTGGGAGCCTGGGGTATCACTGGGTAGCCTGGGAGAGTTACTTTGACTACTGTGGTCCTCAGTTTCCACAAATATAGAATATGGGCTTAGACCTGAGCTCTTCTTTTTTTTTTTCTGATTTTAAATAATTCAAATAGAAACTCGCCCATAGTAGCCGAAGTGAAGGAAGGTCTAGTGTAAGTACAACAGTGGTGGTTCAGGAATTGGGATTCCAGGCGGAACAGGTGTCATGGGAGTGGGGGTGACGTGGGACCTCTCTCCATTCCTGTTTGCATCTGCCCACCTGGATCTTGCGGTCCCTTCCCAGGGCCCAGTCTCTGCTCCTGCCTCAGCCCACACACGGCCATCACAGCCTCCCTGACCCCCTCTGCACAAACTTGTGATTTATCCCCACAGCCCGGGGTCCCAGTCTCTTGGCTTTCTCGTGCTGACTTCCTGAGAAAGGAACCGATCGGCCCAGCTCATCTCACCAGGCAGACGACACGGGTCACAAGCTACCCACCAGCCTGGGGATGGGCTGCCCTGCTCATTGGTGTCTGCTACCTAAATAAACTGGACGCAAGCCCAGTTTCCTGAACTGTGCTAGGGAAGTTAGGGCCGAATCAAATGGCCAGTCCCAGAACGAGGGGCTGCAACTTCCTAATTCCCACCTGTCACAGGTCAGCACGGGCCCTGGGGTCCAGGGCAGGGCTGAGCCTGGGGTAGGGGGTCTCGCAGCTTCCATCAAGCCAGGGAAGGTCCATCTGAGGGGCCCTTAGAGACTTTTCACATTTACAGATGGGGAAACTGAGGCTCAGGGTGGAATTCACACTTTTGAAACCTCTGACCAGTGCCCATCTAGAAATATGGAGCTACAAAGTAGTAGGTGCAAAAATACAATATAAATTGGTATTGGTTTTGGCGTGTGTGGGGGAGACAGCATCACAGAACCTTTTAGCCAGTTGTTGGAAGCAGTGACAGTGTTACTAATCCCAGTGAGGTGTGTGGCCAGGAGTGGGCGGGCCTCAGTGCGCATGTGGGCCAGCTCTCCCAGGCAGACAGGCGATCTCCACGTGCTGTTCATCCATGTCCTTTTCCGTGTGTGGAATTTGACAGCATGGTGATGAAAGATCCATCACTTAAAGAGCCTGGCCTGGTAGGAAATGCAGAAAAACAAAACCAAAATTGGAAAATGCATAGGAATGAGCATCAAGAAGAAGACGGAGGGAGGAGGAAACACACACGTGTGCACATGCAAAATAGGACACTGGCCCCAGGGCCAGTGTGGTGGCCTGTCACCAGGGACAGCTGGTCCTCAGTGGGTCCCAAGAGCTGGGGACATAAGTCTCTGCAGTTATACACTGAGACAAATTTCAGGTTTTCCTTTTTTTGAGACTGGGTCTCACTCTGTCACCCAGCCAGAGTGCAGTGGCGTCATCATAGCTCACTGCAACCTCAAACTCCTGGGCTAAAAAGATCCTCCTGCCTCAGCCTCCCGAGTAGCTGGGACTATAGGTGCAGGCCACCACACCCGGCTAATTTTTCTATTAATGTCTTTGTAGAGATGGGGAGGGGGGTCTCACTCTTGCTCAGGCTGGTCTTGAACTCCTGAACTCAAGCTATACCTCCTGCCTTGGCCTCCCAGAGTGCTAGGATTACAGGCGTGAGCCACCGCGTCCAGCCCCAGATTTCAGTTCTGATGTCTTCAAAGGCCACAATGTGGGTATTCCCATAAACCATTAGCTGTTTCAATTTGCTGGGATAATGGGGTTTTATTTTCTTCTTTCCTTTTCCAAATCTTCTGTAATGTGGTTATGTTTTATAGTGAAAGTATGCTTTTTTCCCCTTAATATTTTAAGAAGAAAAGTCCAAGATAAGTACACCTTTTAATCTTTCAGTGAATGATTCTTCAGGTGGCAGAGGGCAAGGGGAGAGGGGAGGGCAGACAAGGTCATGATTAAGAGAGAAAAGACACCACACGGTATTTCCCATTTACGGAAAAATTAGGGTTGGTACAGTCAACTTCACATTTAGCTGGTTTGTTAACGGTTAATCAGGAGGACCAAAGATATGATTTTGGAATTGGGGGTTCCAGCAATGGTATGGAATTTTAAAAATGACCCAATGTTAGGCATTTCCTTTGCAGAGGTGCAATTTAATTCAGGTAAAGTGAGTTATTGTTGAAACAGTTCTGAGCCTGGCCAATCATTAAACGAGACTCCGCCACTCTCCCCAAGTGGATTTGATTTCCTATAATGAATCTGCTGGGTCTCTCAAAACCTCCAAGCACCAATCAGTAA